CGTGTGGTCCGTGCACGCAACAGGCACCTCCGCCAACGCTCCACAAAACCTCCGGTTCACACAGCAATTTCAACCCCCCCAAAGTGGTTGTCCGCCTAATCCTATGACAGTGGCCATTGGAGACAACCTCAGTATCAGAATCTACATATGTAATATCTGGAGGGGGGCCCTTTTTCTTCACAGAAATCAGCCATCGCCAGGTAAGCGGTGCGGCCCTACCAGAACATGTTTGTATACCTAGTGAATGATGAATGTTGTTCAAAATACCTATGTTGAGTTATTCAAAATATGTTGATCTATCCCATCGCGCATGTACATCAATCAATGTTACATGCACAGATCAAAGATACAGTAAGCCTCATTATCATACAAACATCCAGCATACACAACAATTTCAACCCCCCTAAAGTGGTTGTCTGAGGTAGTTGATAATAATAAACTACCTACCAAGTTCAATAAAGAGGCATCTACCGCCTTCACAGCAATTTTGCCCCTCACGCAGTGGGTGTCCGTTATTGAACCACTACTAAGATAATAATAGCCACACATTTGTGAGACTCAGTGTGCACAGCAATTTTAACCCCTCCAAAGTGGTTGTCTACCTAGCTGAGTGCATAGGACTACTACCACGACCACTGTAGCCCTGTATGATGTACACGCAAATTCAACCTTCACGCAGTGGTTGGCAGGCGATACACTAACTTGGTGATGCGGTTATTAATGTGCATAACGATCCATGTGGCTTCATTTAAAAAAGAAGGAACAGTTCCAATTCTTCATGTATCAAACGCGGCGCAGCGACTTGTTCTTATAGCTTGACAACCTAGATCCTTACCACAGCCTAACTGGCAAGGAGATTGTCGAAAGTCAAGATAGCAAGCATGACAACCGATTTGAAGTATTTGATTTTGCTGTGCAAGATAGGGCTGAGCTCAGAGAGACGATGACCTAGGTCCTTACAACAGCCTAATTGATGACTGAGAGTAAGCATTACAACCGATTGGGGGGGGATGAAATTGCTGTGCCCAACCCACAGTTCAGGTTGGAATGCAGTAACACACCTGCGACATGGCGGGGTGCAGGGAATACATCATTAGCCGAGCAGAAATCGCAACGTCGCCTCGCACGATTCCACCGGCACCAGCCGAGATTTGGCGTCGATCTTCAGCCGCCGTCAATCACATCACCACCACCTCGACTCGATAGCTTCGTTCTAGGGACCCGTGATCCAATATTCATTTCGCATTCACACGCATCTAACCAACCCGCATCTAACCAACAGCACACACGCTCACCAACATGCACGGGCAGAAAACCCAGGCTATTATTATTACTGTGGGGTCCTCCCCGATTCATGTCTGAGCCCTCGGGACCTTCATCTTTCCCAGCTTGGCATTCCACGCCAGCCAAGACGGACGGGACGGCGTTTTTATCCATGTCAACAATGGATCCAAACCTGTGCCACACATTGCCGACTCCTGTCGTCGTCAGCATCATGCGCTCTGCCTCCTGTCTCCCGTCTCCTCCCCCGTAGGAACCGCCGCAGCGAGAGGGCGCCCATCTCCATGATCTCGAATGCTTCTGCGGCCCTCCTCTGTGAGCCGCCGGCTCAGAAGACCCTCGTCTCTGCTCCGCTTCTGCGCCGGCCTCGCCCTGGCGGCCCTCGTCCTCGACACTCTGCTCCTCACCAGCCAGCTGCCTTCATCCCACCGCTCCAGCAGCCGCCGGATGCCCCGGAACCCCCATTCCCTTAACCAGACGGTCTTCATAGCTTCAGTCCATCACAATTCCGCTCCCCGACTGCACGCCACGTGGAGTGACGCCGTCGTCCAGCTCGTCGGCCTCCTCGGCCCGGACAACGTCTACTTCTCCGCCGCAGAGCACGCCTCCTCGGACGGCACTATCCCGGAGCTCGTCCAGCTCAAACAGCGCCTCAACGACCTACAGGTAGGAAACACCATCCACCTCGGCCGGACAGCATGGGACCTCGAGGACGAAGCCAACGGCGAGCCGCCCTCCGGCTCCGAGGCCGGATGGCTCTGGCATCCCGAGCATCAGCTGTGGGCCCTGCGGCGCGTCCCCATCGACGCCCAGGCGAGGAACCAGGCCCTCCTGCCCCTCCGTGAGCTCCTCCTCAAGCAAGGGCGCACCTTTGATCGGGTCCTCTGGCTCGACGACAATATCGTCTTCCGTCCCGAGGATGCCGTGGCGCTCCTCGAGACCCGTGACGGTGATTACGCGGCCGTCTGCAGCGCTGCCCAAGCGGGACCCTCCACCCACCGTCTGAATACCCTCACCCTGCGAGACGACCACGGCCATCTGCCCGTCAGCACCCACTGGCCCTGGTTCTCCTCCTCAACGTCCCGCTCCGCCGCCTGGGCCGGGTCGCCCATCCCCGTCCGCTCATGCTGGGGCGGCATCGTCGCCTTCGACGCCCAGCCCTTCTACGACCCCGACTCCCCGCTGCGGTTCCGAAGCGTTAGCGACGAAGTGGCAGCTCTCCACCTAGAAGCATCCGAGCGTTGCCTCATCCACGCCGATAACCCACTAGCCAGCTCTAGGGGAATCTGGGTAGAACCGTTAGTACGAACTGCCCTCGACTGCAAGGAAGGGTGCTGGAAGGTCGCCCGCCCCCTCTCCCCGGACACCTGGCTCACGGCCATGAGGGGGGTCTGGTCCAGCCGGCTGGGGACCTGGCGAGGACCCCGATCCGGCGCCGAGACGAACCCGGAACTGCCCCGGGTGGACGACGACGGGGCCGTCTCCTGCCTGATGGACGAGATGCAGATCATCAAGAGAACAAAGTGGACTTTCAAACTCTCGAACGCGGGATCGTAGTCCTCTTGTACATTTCAACGTTAGAACCAAAAGATAAATAACAGAGAGAGGAAAAAAAGTTAAATAGACCAAGAAAATCAAGAGTCCCTGTACCGTGACGCCCATAGATGCTCTAAAACAGCGCCCAAGAGTTTGTCATACACATATATGCTCTAAGTCTCATGAGTCCTATCCAATGCCCAAGAACGCCTATAACAAGAAAACAGACCGCCAAACATTTCGAAGAGGTGACAGACTGCCGCAGAAAGAACCACGGCTTTCTTTGGACGGCCTCAAGATCTGCGTTGTTTCCCCGGCGGTTGCCCGCATTACTCCCCTCTCTATTTATTGTGCCAGAGGAGCGTCCGCAGCGAGTCCCAGTCGTCGCAGTCCCGGTAGATGTACACCATGCTGCTCCGCAGGCTGGACTGCAGCTCCTCCGGGTGGTAGCGGAAGAGCAGCATGACCGAGGCCCAGCTGAGCGACGCGAACGCGGGCCAGGCGTAGTAGTTGATGCGCGAGTGCAGGGGCTCCGCGGACACGAGGGGGAAGCCCACGCCGGGCTTGACGGCGAGGCGCGCGAGGGCCAGGACGACCCGGGCGAAGACGTAGATGACGATCTGCTGGTTGACCGACGAGATCTTGCCCGATCGCTTGGAGCGCCCGCCGAAGACGAAGTAGCCGCCGACTAGACCGGCGAAGAAGGAATCGTAGGTCCCTGTTCAGACTCGAAGTTAGCCAGATTGTCTTACCTAGACTGAAACCTGAATACAAGCGTAGCAATTGCCCAACACATACCCTCTTTTCCTGGCGTGGCGCCGTAGTGCTTGAGCGCAAGCATTGTGAGTTTGTATATCGTTGCGAACCGGGCGAGGTTGGAAGCGTGGTGTCGAGTGGCCCTCAAGACAAGCCCAGCCTTTTGTCGGAAACTATCTCCATCGCATCGCCGTTAGTCACTTGATATACCAGGCACAGTACACATCACAGGTATTGTATTCAGGGATGTTCGGTGGCGAGAGTATTCGGTAGTGGTTGGACATACGTTCCAGATCGGAAGAGAAAGATCATTCTAGGTGGCTGTTAGTCGAGGCGGGTCGAATTGAACAGAGGAGCAGAGCCGACTGACACTAAGGCATGAGGGAATCGGACCTTGGTGCCGTATACGGCACCATTACGCGCGGTCTTGAGAAGAGAGAGGACATCGTGGTATCGAGGGTTTCGGGCTATCTGCTCGAGCGCATCCTACAATGCTGGTCAGCACGTGCGAGGCCAGGGGGGCGGTGAGTAGGGTCGATTCGAACCTTAAGCACCGCTATCGAAGCTGAGACCGAAGATGACATGTCGCCTGCTTGAGTGTGAAGGTTGGTCGCTGCGAGGATCGAGGACGGGCAGCCAGAAGCGACACAGGACGACAGTCGAGGTGGGAGCTTGGGAGCTTGGAGGACCGCAGGCTAGCCGAAGGGAGACCGCGTATTGATGTGCAAGAGACTGTCGAGAGAGATGGATGGGATACGCGAGTCGGAGCGCAATGAACGGGAGCTGGGATCTATAGCGACGGCTTGTAATGTGCGGAGGGTGTGGAGGATGGAAATTGAACTCCAGAGTTGGCCCGATTCACATCTGAACGCAATGACGACGGACCTCGGGACATGGCCAGCTTCGGCTGTAGTCAGGTGGGAGACCCTGCTGAAACCTGCGGTACATGTGGAGGTACCTCCCGTTAGCACAGCATCCCAGCCGCCAGCACCAATGGGGGAAAAGAGCCGTTGGACCCTAGCAGGAGACACCTTTGTTCAACCCACAGGTACTTCTGCCCCGTGGCATACCAGCTGCTAAATTTACTGTGGCCTTTAGCACTAATTAGATGCGCTAGTGACGGCATCTGGATCTCAAACGATGATAGAGTGTGGGGGAAGACTGACATGTGAAAACACCATTGCTCGGCCACAGGGAAGTTCCCCAGTTCCCAGCTCAGACAGCAGAGCAGATAGGCAACCCCCTTTATCTAGATCAGATCAAAATACAGATCTTACCTGATATCGGTGTCACCCAAATACCCCTCACCACTTGATTATTTCCATATGAAAATTTACTCGACCCCTTTGAGACCAGGGTGACACCTCATACATGTTGATGTTTTCAAGATACCCAAGTTGGGGAAAAGAGCTTGATTAATACCTGGGTCAACACCATCTCTCATGCGGCTCCCGCCATTTCACGCCCAGAACCTCAAATATCCTCTTTTCATCCCTGCCTTCCACAAGCTCTCCCTCCGTTACCTTGGCCCGTCCAGCCCCCCGCATGACGTCCTTGAAGAGACCCCGCTGGTTCAACCTCATCCCCTTCTTTGACGCCAGCAATCGCATACTGCGGTTGAAGATGTCGTTCCCGGTAAAGTAGAGTAGTGCAGCACCCAGCTCGGATGCAGGTACCACCAGGAAGTCAATCCGCCTCCAGATCGAGCGATATCCCCCCGTGTCTGCACCGCGCGCGCCCTCAGGTAACACACAACACCCATGCCATTTACTCCCGTCACTTCCCGTCCGCGACGAGGCCAGTCTCGCGACGAGAAACTTGCTCTCCTCGAGGCGCTGTACCAACTTGTCGAGGAACGGTCGCAACTCAAGCGACGACTCCGTGTCAGGCTTCGTGACGATGAAGTCTATATCACCCGACTTATCTGACCCTCTGCGGTAGCTGCCCCCAATTATGAGCTCCACGTCGGGGTCAATAGTAGCCGCCGTCTTCTTCACAATGACGCCAAGAGCCTCAACCTCGCTGCGAGGAATCTTGGTGTTCAGGTCGTCGTAGTGCTCGATGCCCAGCAGCTGGTTGGGGGTAAGCTTCGCCTTCTCCTTCAGGTCCTCCAGCGTGCGGAATCCTTGAGCAATCCATTGCTGTGCCTGGCTAGTCCCCACACCATATATCTGTAGAAATAGTTGCAACGCCTCGTCCAGCGGCTCTGCCTCAGCGTACTCTAGTCTCTGTAGCCGGTCTGTAGTCACAATCTCCTCAATCTTCTGCGCCAATCGCCGGCCGATACTCGGGAGCCGGAAGGCTTCCTCCTCGGTCGTGATCTTGACGGTCTGCCGTTTAAGGGTGCTGATGACCTTGCGATATGCAATTGTGCGCCATTGGTCGTTTGTCCTGTCATAGTAGCTTGCCATCTTCTCAAGTATCTCGATCGTTCTGGAGTTGGGGTTGCCTCCTTTTGCATCCTTGACTCCCGCATGGCTACATGCAAACCGGTCCTCAAAGCGAATACCTTTGCGATTAGGTTTCTGATCAGACCTGACTGGCTTTTTCTTGCTCGAGATCTCCCCGTCTGACCCTGATTCTCGACCTGAACCTTCAGAGACATTCGTCTCCTCCTCCTCGTCTGCATCTAGCGGAACGTCCTTATACTCCTGCATAAGTGCGATGTAGTCAGATAGTTCATCCTTGTGTGTGATTGAAGGCTTGGTCCGGCTCGCTGGTTCGTCGACTGGGGAGTCGGGGTCATCGATCGCCACGACAATACTATCAGAGACATTGTCGTCTGCGCGCGGCCCTGGTTCTAATTGCTCATCTCTCGAAAACCCCATGTCGAGCTCAATAGGCTGCGAGTCCATCGGGATGGGTGTCCCGCTCACATGGCTTGCCTGAGAGGCCGGTGATTCCTCTCTTCTCTGAGGCGATTCTTCTTCAAGGGGGACATAATCCCATTTACTCCGATTTTTGTGCGGAGGCTTCAGCTGAAGCGATCTGCTCAGACTGTCAGGTTTTGGGGTCGTAGGAAGCGTGGGTTTCCCTGACACCTCTTCCTCGTTGGCGTCCGCAGTGACTGGTGGCGGTTGCCCCGTGAGTAGATATTTGGCCTGCGTAGGGTCCAGGATTGCCTTGAACTGGATGCAGTCAACGGGGTAATCCTCATTCACAACGACCAACGGCTCCCTCTCCTTGCGACCCTGAGAGATGATCTTCTCGATGTCCTTGTACGAGATGCTCCTGTCCACCACAACATGCGTCGCCCTGTCCACCGCCCCCGTCCTCGTCGCGCCATACTCGACCGCCTTCGCGATCCGCTGCCGCCGCGTCGGCGCAATGTCATTGTCCGGGATGTAGAAGAACTCCAAACCCTTGAATATCTGCTCGTGCTCTGGGCGAACCTTGGCGGGCCCCGTTTTGCGCCGCTTCCCAGCTGCAGGTCCCCGGGTCGAGGGCGCCGGAGCCGTCGCACCACGAGTGTTGCGCAGACGACGTTTCATGGGTGGGAGGGCCGGTGCTGGATCGCTCGGCCGCAGCGTCTTGCCTGCGGCCTTGGTGGAGTCTGGTATCACCGTGTCGCTGTCCGTGGTGGGCACCGGCTCTGAAAGCCGCTGGCTTGGGCCGTTCTTGGACCTTCGCCTTCCTCTATTATTCCCCTGGGTAGGTTCTACCCTCTGAGTGGGTGTGGCTTTGATGATCTCGACCTCGTTCGAAAGGTCTACTGTCACAGGCTCTGGTGTGGCCACTGAGAGCGGCCGAAGCATCGAGCCGTCTTCCGCCGCGTGTTTGGGAGCATCGCGCTCCGAACGGGCCTCGGGCTTTGGCTCGAAAAAACATCGGCTCTTTCGACGTTGGGCCAATTCAGAAAGAGCCAAATCGTCATTTCCAGAAACTGACGCTTCAAACTGTTCGAAGAACTCGACTTTCTGTGAAAAGGCTGAATGTTTCGCGTCCATCATGTGTCAAGGTAGGCCGTTTTATGAGGCGGGTGCCAGTGTGAAAACATCGATATTATTTAATAGTGAAGCGGAAATGATTTGGGGAAGATGAAAATCAGGCAAACCTTGTGACTCCCGAATCTGCATCTTTATTTGTAGATGGGTTGGAGACAATAAATGATGAATGCTTGTGAAGAGTGGAAGCTTACCAGCTGTTGCCTGTGGCTGCACGCGGCTTGAGCCAAATGAGTGCTCGAGGATTGAGCCAGTGAATGTATGTATCTTTGTGCAGAGCTACCTATACCCCCATGTTCAATGGCTGGAGAATTAAGTATCCACAGAGAGGGGTACCACCATTCAAGCTTTGGTAGAGTAACAGTCCGAAATGCTTCACTCACTCTTCTCATAAGGCCATATGGATGAGAAATACCGCGTATTCTATATGAATTCTTCATTAACACTCTAGGTTGCCCTAACTAGTACTGAAAATTATGTTCAAACAGTGTATAGCCTCAAAACCCCATACATACCCCAATACCAGCAAGACATGGATCCAGACAAGGCGCCTAGCCACTCATGAGCGCTTCTAAAATATCCCAAACCCCCTTTCACTATCCCCGTGAAAATAAACAAGTAGTCATAACACTTTTATATAAGCCCTAAATCCCGAAGGTACCCAAAGAAGAGAAATAAAAGGGAAGCGAGGGACGAGAGGGGTTCCACGCGGATATCCAAAATTCCGTGGTGACCCCTACAATAATACACACAATCAAAAATATATACCAGGGTATCGAGATCGTTTAAAAACAGATATATGGTGTAAAAATCAGGAACGCCGACCGGGAGAAAGAGGGACTCATTGCCCATGCCCCATGGGCATTGACGGTCCTGGTGATGGTCCTCCGCCTCCTCCAAACATGCGAGCATCCACCATCGGGATGCCGTGCTTCTCAATCATGTGGTATGCGTTCGGGTCGGCCGAATAACGGCTTCCGGCTTCGTGATCAACGTCATTGAGAACTTCTCGGGTGAGCTCCACATAGTCGTAGGCGAACTCGCCAATCTCGGCGTCGTCGATACCCAGGATCTCCGCATCTTCCGAGGCGCGGATTTGAAGCCCAGGGATTCTGTTGAGGATGGTCAAGATCAAACAAGTGCCACAGAACGAGTACAAGCCACCTGTGATCGAGTCGGCAACTTGGTAGCCAAGCTGAATCCAATGGTGGTTGAGCCATCCTCCATCAATGCTTGTCACTCCGTCAAGGGCTGCGATATAGTCGGCTGCAAAAAAGGCCGTCAGGATATTTCCCACCAAGCCTCCCACTCCGTGTACAGCGAAGATGTCAAGCGCGTCGTCGATGCGTAGGAGGAACTTGAGTTTCGTGGCGTAGTTAGAGAACGATGCCCCGAGAACTCCGAATACCACAGCGGCCCATGGGGGAACATATCCTAATAGACAAAATCAGTTAACGTTTCTGATAACATGGAGAAGTCGAGCGGAACAAGCCATCAAGATCAGCCTGGGCAAAGTATGGATGCTATTACGTACCAGAACCTGGTGTGATGGACACAAGGCCAGCCACAACACCAGAGCAGAAGCCAACTGTCGACCACTTCTTCTCCAGCCGATAGTCAAGGAGACACCAGGTCATACCACCCACGCAAGCCGCCAGGTTAGTCACCACGGCAGCCATAACAGCACGCAGGTTAGCACCCAAGGCTGAGCCCGCATTGAACCCGAACCAGCCAACCCAGAGGAAGACGGTACCGACGACGATGTGAGCAACATTGTGGGGCCTGTAGTTGAGCTCGTGCGTCCCATGCCCACGTCTCTTGCCGAGCATCATCGAGTAAGCCAGGGCCGCAGAGCCAGACGCAATGTGCACCGGCGTCCCTCCGGCAAAGTCCAGGCCACCCATCTTGCTCGACCAGCCGCTGGGGTTCCAGGTCCAGCACGCAATAGGGTCGTAGATGATCGTCGCCCAGACAAACATGAAGATGGCACAGGGCAGCATGCGTCCGCGCTCGGCTACAGCGCCGGTAGCGAGCGCCACGGTGATGGCGGAGAACATGCCCTGGTACACGGCGAAGAGCAGATCGGGAATGCGGTCGGATGCAACCGACGGGCGTGCCAGGACGTTCCGGAACCCAAAGTTCTCAAGGTTACCGATGAAAGGGCCGGCAGTGTGTGAAAAGGTCAGGGAGTAGCCCCAGAAGAACCACTGGAAGCAGGTGACGCCCACGGACATGATCGAGAGCCATATCAGAGAGAGGGCGGATTTGCGGCGCGCGAGACCAGAGTAGAAGAAGCTGAGACGCAGGGATTCACAGTCAGTATTCTGGGGGCTTGGGTCGTTCCATTTGGGAAAAACGTATGACAAGCAATAAGCCTGCGCAAGGCTGTGGCAGAACTCACCCAACTCCTGGAATCATCAGCAGCACCAGAGCAGTGGCAGTGACAACCCATCCTATATCGCCCGGCTATGTGGAAAGACATGTCAGTTCAGTTGTCATGGCACGTGCTGGAGGGGCAGCGGCCGAGAGTGAGGATCTTCCTTGGTCGCGTGCTTCCAGAAACTGCAGAGAGCGGTGGTTTTACCTGGTACCAAACGTTGACATTGAACTCCAAGGGATTCGCCCCGGAACTGCCAGTCCCATTGTACGGGGAGCGAGCCGCGAAGTCGAGGTCCCGTTCGTCGATTTCTGCGGCCATTTCTAGATGACTGCCAAGGTAGGTTTGGTCGCGGTTGCAAGAGCAGGGGGAAGAGGAGAAAGTAGAGGCGTTGATCTCGTCGAGCAGCCGAATAGGCAGTTTTCAGCTGGGGCCGCAGGCAACGTACGTCACGCCGGTAGCGGTAGTGGACCTGCTAAACAGCGAGCGGCAGCGTCGGGGGGACCGCTAAGGGCTGCCCCGTCTCTGCTGTACGATGACTCGAGGCAGGCGGGCAAATCGGTAATCAGGGAGGGGCCCCAGTGCATATCACGGCCAAGGCAGGCACAGGCGCCGGCTTTCGCTGGGCTGGATCAATTCACGGCGCGCGATCGAGCACTGGAAATAGACCGCTCAATCAAACCGATCAACCTGGGGATAGAAGTCGGCGGGCGCGTTGAGTGAGGTGGAAAGCATTGACCCAGGCTGGCGTCTGACTCGAGCGGCCGTTTTGTCTTATTATCTTCTGCGGGCGGCCCTTGGCTTTGCCCGCATAGGTAGCCTTTGACGATGGACGGGACCAGGGGGGTCAGCCCAATCGACTGGTTGGCTCCTCTCAGCCATGCCCCCAAATTCCTTATCTCGACCAATCAGCACACCCCCAGCCTGCCCGGAAGCTAGAGGGTACATGCCAGAGTTGATAAGAGACAGCCCATTTACTGGTCATTCGCTTTCCCATCTGCCTCCTACCTTGCGGCGATCAAATCGACGCAGAGAGGCGGTCGGTCTCGATGCTTTCACCGAGCTCACGATAGTATTAGAGTTTTCACTGTAATTGGTCACTCAATATTGCCCTTTCACGCGTATACCGAGACACCTCGTCCATTGGGCCCTTGGGAAGCCACCCTCCATTTCTTGGCAACGCCATAATCTCGAAGTAACTTTTCCCAGCCGATCAGACACTAATTCGCCTTAGTATAACACACCCTCAGGGAGGAAATTTTCAAAAAAAGAAAAGAAAGAGTAAACAATTTGCCCCGGCTTCTGAGATTCGATTACCATCCTGTCCTTATCGGGCGACATTACCCCCTGGTCCCCGCACACAGATCCTAGTCGGAATCTCTATCTCTCTCTGATATGATTCTATTCAATTAATCATGCCTACTGTTCATCGCCTACAGCCCATTATTCACACCCCTTATTATCTTTTATCAGCTGCTTCGCCCTATACCAACAGGGCACTCGTGGCAAGGGTCTCAGTGACCTCCCCCTTCATTCATCCAAGAAAAAGGAAATTAGTATATCTGGGATGGCTGCCTCTTCAGTCCATCCCCAGATTGTGTAGCCCATATTGCTTGATTACAGTCAGGAAAACCCCAATTACAGTTTTAGGCATTGATAACAACCAGCCACATCCCAGCTCCCCGTTTGCCTTGTGCTAACGAGCACCCTGGCTGATGGCTTATCGCTTCCCCAAACCCCACGAATCCATCACATCACCTCATCGTCATTCCTCACATGTGAAGCAGTTTGTTGTGGGACAAGGAGAGAAATCGGATCATCATAGATCCTAGTCATCTCATCTTAGGCGCTCTTAGATGACTCCTTACGGTTACGTTGCAGATTTGGCTGTTCATCATATTAATAGATAGTTTGCTGACAGGAATGGCCTCGCAAGAAAGCCTAAATGTGTACGGCTCCTGATGATCATCTCAGGAGGTACTTGAGGTGCATGAAACTCCTTCCCCGTGCTTGGCGTCATTGCAGATGACAGGATTCGCGTCGCCAGCCTCATCATGCACATCTTCAAAAAGGTGACCAAAAAGAATGTTTCATACACAATCTCCGATACGGGGAATCGAACCCCGATCTCCACGGCGCTCACAGTGGTACTGAAAGCGTAGTGTGCTAACCGTTACACCATATCGGATGGGACACTCTGATTGGTTGTTTGGCGACAGGGCTATTTGACTCAAATCCCATTGCTCCCGGGAGTGGGGGTAAAATAAAGCAAGTGGCGAACAAAGCGGTCAGGCCTGGCCTGGCAAAAATGCAAAATGAACTCCGATACGGGGAATCGAACCCCGATCTCCACGGCGCTCACAGTTGTTACTGAAAGCGTAGTGTGCTAACCGTTACACCATATCGGATAGTTGCTGGTTGCTGGAGATTTTGGCTGCCAGGATAGTATATACTGGGATCTCTTGATCTGAGAGTGTATCGTCGCACTTGGCAGGTCAACTGCCCGCAACTAACGACAAATCAGTTTGTTTTGAATTGCAATGCTACACACCTTGCAGCGATGTCACCGGGAAAAAGAAGGTAATTAATGAAGACCTCGAGAATTGGGTGTCGGTCTGCAGATAAG